CCGGTACCGGAGAAAAACCAAAAAAAAAAAAAAAAAAAAAAAAAAGAAAGCAAAAAAGGAAGAAAGAAAAAAGAGGAAGGAAGGTAAAAAGGAAGGGAGGGAGGGAGACTGAGATTGCAACTTTGGAAAGTTTTTTGAGGGAATGTTCCATTATATTTCTTTGTCCAAATAAGAGACAGTATTGCATCATGCTTAGGACGTGGAATGTGGAGCTTGGCTGTTTGTAGTTAACCACTATTTAAAGTTTGGGTTTAGACTGTACCATGTGTTTTTGTAAGTTAATACACAGGTACCTAGACACAGACACATACCAACACATAAGCATATTGTAATACAATAATATTAGCAATAATTTACTGAAACTTTAATACTACTGAAAGCTGACTATTTTTACCTGAGTACCCCATACTTGCTGGTGTTCATTTCTGATCTTCTCATATATATAAAAACATTTCCTCTCCTCTCACCTTCCTCCTTTTGTCTTTACTGGGTGAAGAAAAAACCCATTGACTTACCTGTAGGAACACCTAAATGGTTCTCTCCTTTTATAGCACATTATCACCCAATGCCTGCTCTTGTCTCCTCCCCAGCCAACAAAATTGAGAAAGGGGGGTTAATCTTTGGGGACTTTGTTTTTTTTTAAGGCAAACATGATTTTTTTAAAAAGGCTGTCACAAAATAATTTCCACAGCTTCTCCTATGTGCATTTTCAAGTACAGAACTCCACAGAGGAAACAACCTCTAAAATTACCACATAAATATTTTATCATGTCAAGTAGATATTGCTGCTGTTACTTGTATTCTGAGTTATGACACATTTTTCTCCACACCTTCCTCATATCCCTTTTCATCCATTCTCCTTGCTGACTGATCCTGACGCAGTGCCAAGTACCAAATAAAAAACCCTTGACTGCTAAAGGCAAAGCGCATTCTGACTTTGCATAGCGGAAGAGATCCAGATCCCCATAAAGATTTAAAATATATACCTTTATTTATTCGGATGACTGCTGGCCATGTCTTTTTTCACTAGTCCAATCCAGACGTTTTTGTCAAGGAAGTGCATGTTGCAGGATTACAGCAATTTTGAAAGTGAAACTAAAGTTAATTTAAAAAACAGAAGGGCGCTGGTGTTTGGCATACAGAAAGGTGGAGAAAGGAGAAAAGAAAACCCGAAATACCAGATAATCTCAGTGGGGTGCTTTATTTGCTTCTTTAAAATGTCTCTTCTAAGGTTGTTTTGGGTACAATAGCCTGCACGTTATTGAAATGGTCACAGATTTAATCAGGGAAAACGCTGAAAGGGTAGGAAGTCATTGCTTAGTATAAGCAAGCAACCCGGAGAGTGAACTGTGTATTTGCATACTGCCCAAAACTGTCAGAATTGAGCAGTATTTGCTCAGAGGGACAGAGAAAACCTTTAAACCCTACCTGAAGCTAAAATTTTTTCCATCACTTATCTGTTTTATCTTCCAACCCTGTAAAATAAGCAAGGCAGAATTTACCTTCTTGATCAAAAAATAAACTGTTTCACAGCAGTCAGAGCAGTGAAAGCAGAGCAAGCTGAGCCAGTCGGAACTCCTGCTGATCCATTTTTCCACAGCAGCGCCTGCTAAAATAGGTGTGCCAGAGAAAGTTCAGGTTAACTATTACCTTCTCAGTTAGCTTTCATGGCTGCAGTCAGTTAAAAGAACATATTTGCAAGAAAGAAACTTTCAATATTTTCTTCTGGAAAACTTTCAGTATTCCATTACTGATGTACAGTGATGTAACCAAGTCATTACATGGTAAAATATAACAATTTAAAGGAAGTGTTGTGGGCGCCTAACCCAACTTCCTTGGTGAGAAATGAGGAAAAGGAAACCTAGAGTGGTGCATGATTTGTCTAAGGCTATGTCAGATTGCCACAGTGATTCCTGGAGCAAACAAGTACTACAACAGTGAGAAAAATTTGGAAATATGTCACTACTTTGAATTGATGGCAGAATAGATTGCAAGAAATAAATTTGTAACGTGGTATAAATTTCTCTCTGTTTGCTCCAGTCTTAGGCAAGCCATTCTGTGGTAATTGTGCTCATGGTGACATGTTTTTGATTTTCAATTATAACATCTGCAGTATAACACAATAAGCAGTCATTTTGAGTAAATAATTGTTTACTCACTGGGATGTGAAATAAAACTAGTAATGCTGTCAGCAATTTAAAAGATTTCATCTCTGTGAGCTCTTTAATGGTGGCACAGGTATATTCTTGGTACTGTAACTCTCCAAGCACCCTACTGTGGTAGACTATCACCACATTCCTTGTCAGTAGTCAACCATCACATGGTCTTCTACACTACCTCTGGGCTTAACCATGTGACCAACCTTGCCCAATGGGACAGCAGAAAGTGTGAATCAGAGCTGGATTACCAACAATGATCATCAGGGTCTGATTAAGTACTTGTACACTGGGACATTTTTCCTTAGACCCCCAGCTCCTAGCATGTTTGTTCTTGCAACCCCCAACTGTGTACTGAGAAGCCCCGCTTAGCTGTGCAAAGGATACTTGGAGGAAACTGAGACCCTGGCTAACAGCCCTAACTATGCACCAGGAGGACAGCTAGCATCAACTTGACATATGAGTAAGCCACACTAGAAGTATATATCCCACTCTCAGCTGAATTATTCCAGGAAGAGCACAAGGAACAGAGATAAACTATCCTCAGCAATCTTGTAAAGTCTAGAATAGTGTGCCAGTACATGTTGCCAATGATTGTTGTTATTTTAAATAAAAAATTGCAGGAGTGGGTTGTGCATTATTAGACAAAAGCATTCTGCTTTCCTTCTAAATACTACACAGATTATTTTCTCTCCACTGTACCTTTCTTAATTATGTAACTTATCTAGCCATTAAGATAAGGGTGTCACAGAGAAAATGCTTAGTTTTTCCTTTTAAGATAAGTTAAAAATGCGAGATACACTCCTAAGTGCAGAATAACAAATACAGGGCTTACTAGCAGTTCATATAGCATTACAGATCAGCTGGTCTCAAAATGAACGTGAAGCTCATTATTCCCAACAGACCTCAGAATTCCCAATAGACCTCAGAATTCCCAACAGGATTATAGAGCCACATTTTCTTGAATTCATTGAAACTATAAAAAAGTCTAGCAAGTTTCCTCCTTCAACCAAAGAGAGCTCATTTTTATGAGAATGTAATAAAGAAATATATACAAAAATCTGGAAAAATGAATAGAGAAAACAGCAAATTACAGAGCCTACAAATGATGAAGCAGATAATAATGTCTAACTTACTTTTTACCTATTTATTAAACTGCAGATGCAGTATGCTTATCTGCTTGTTCCTAACAGTAATTCTTAAAAAGCTAGTCACTGCTTTTAAAGAATATTTACAAGCATTTTAATTATAAGCAAATAATTTTTTATGATCAAATATAATGTATCACTGATAGCAGGTTTAGTTCATATACAATTTATAAGGAAAAGCTTGATAATCATTTTTGTTAATGTCAGTGTCAACATCTAGCACTAGACTATTAGTATTAGTATCAGTCTGACACTAGGCTACTGAAAACTTAATTTTTTTACTGTTTGTTTGTTTGTCCGAGACAGGGTCCTGCTCTGTAATGCAAGCTGACCTCAAACTCACTATGTAGCCAAGACTGGCATCAAACTCCTGGTGATCCTCCTGTTTCAGCTCCTGAAGTGCTGGGATTACAGGCATGAGCCACCATGTCTCACTACTACTGAAAGCTTTATGGAGCAGTCCTTACAATCTTCCATATGGATTATTTTAGGCATGAAGATAATGTAACTGCGGGTTTGACCACTATTGAGATGATAGGACAGACAGTATGTGAAAAGTGAGGGTAATATTTAACGGTAATTACACATTGCCCAACTCCGTGAGGACAGAATGGAAAGAGAACTGATTTCTGAGGAATAGTCAAACTTATGCTAGCAATGAATATCCAATTCAATAGGCAGTGAGCCATTGGGTGTTCCAGAATTAATATGCATAGGTGTAATGTAAATGGCTCTCAAAGAAACTTGGAAGTAAACTTTTATTAATGAAAATAAAGAGATTGGACTAACTACCTTCTAGGTACCTTCTAGGTTAGCAGAAAGCCATGCCTTTTTGTCATTAAAACTGCTTATGAGCATTTAATGTGACTGATACATTATGAACCATGTAATGCACTGCTCTCTGAGCATTCAACAGTCTTATGAACTGTGCTCAGTGCTTTCCCTTCACAGTCATCACTCAGGAAGGCCACCACCATGCTCTGTATCAGACCAAGGCTTAGAGGCACTTCTTCTCTTTTTGAATACTTTCTCTAAAGTAAAAATGCAGTTCCTCTTGCCAGTGTCATCCATTTCTGCTGATTGAATGGCAGCTGGTTTAACCTAAGATGAACCAAAGAACCCAGCCAGAATTTCAACAAGGGAAAAAGAAACACACTCTGTTCCCTTTCCTTACTCTCACTCATGGCTCCTGAACAGAATTCTGTTTATACTTCCTCTCTGAGAAAGAAACTACAAGAGCTTGTGGTTTAACCTGAATTTTATTTTTTGGTTTTATTTTTTTGTAATTTTATGTATTAGTTGAAAAATGGTGACATCTTTTCTACAAGATATGCACAGCTTCATTTCGTTCTTAAAAAAAAAACCACTTCACTGAGGTATAAGATCTATACATATTCAGTATATGCACTGTTATAAGTTTGGAAATAAGTATGTACTTGTGAAGCTATCACCATCATTTCTACTTTAAATCTATTGCCTCTACAGTTCTCTACTCTCATTTATTATTTTCAGGAATAAGAACTTGAGATTTACTCTCTGTTTAATTTTAATGTTCAATACAGTATTGTGAACTATGGGCAGGTGATGGTTAAGTTTACCTTTCAACTTGATTGGCTTGGAATCTGCCTGAAGGACTAGTAAGGCACACTTGAGGGGTGGTTTGAGTGTGTTATAGAGGTGTGACCTTGGGGCGACATATGCTACCTGGCCCCTCTGCTCAGCTGCTTCCTCTCCACTGTTCTGTTTCCTGGCCAGTGTGTAGTATACGTGTTTGCTGTGCTGTGCCTTTGTGCCTTTGAATACCTTGATACTCAGCCTTGGCCAGCAGACCATAGAGTGAACTTCTGAAATCATGAACAAATAAACCTTTTCTCCTTAAATTGTGGGTGTTGCATACTCTGTCTCAGCAATAGGTACGGTAACTACGTAAAATTTGTACCAGAGAACAGGATAATTGCTGTAATTATATCTGTGTGGTTCACAAGTCTTTGGAACTGGCTTGTGGGAACAGTTAAATATTGGAAATGTGCACTAAAGAGGGCCTAAAATACTATAAGTAGAGCTGAGTAGGCCATTCTGGTTAGAGCTCAGAAGACCAGAATGCTGATAGAAATGCAAACAATGAAGGACAGGTATATAAGACATGAGATGGGAACTCTCCTTGAAAACAGATGAGAGACCATGCATTTTACATTCCAGTGAAGAATATGTCCACATTTTGCCCGTGTTCTACGATTTCACAGAAGCTAAATTTAGGAATGGTGAAAGAAATTTCAGGACAGCCAGTATTCAGGCTGTAGCATGGGTATTACTGGCTTTTAATCAGATTTGTAGTGAGAATCAAGATCAAAAAGCAGAGCAGAACAATTTTAAATTTTGGCCAGAAGGAACCACATGTAAAGTTGAGGGAAAAGGAAATATGGTTGTTCTTTAGATGAGCACTATAAAAAAATAATCCAAATACTTAGTAGAGAAATCAAAGAAAAGATGTCATGAGGGTGTCTTAGCAGTCAGCAAGACACCATCCATTGCAGACTAAAGGGTGCAATATTCTAAACCTTTAACTTGAGAAGAGAGTTCTCTGCTGAAGCAGGGCCCCCTAGGGAATTGGTTCTCTGGGATTTGTCTCATCATGCTTAGGCATGCAAACACTCAAAGGCCACTACTACTATGATCTGAGGGAGCCTGGCTTCTGTTCCAGCTAGCGACAGACCTTGCCATTGGTTATGTATTACTGGTTGTTCAGGTATTCAGAATACAAGAGTTGTAGGGTCATGGAGGCTTTAATCCAGGTTTGAGAGGAAAGCTTGGGAGGCCAGGAAAGGTGCTCCTCACAGTGCATGAAGCAGTGGGAACAAGTGTAAGGTGAAGAGGAGACTCCAATAAGTGAAAGATTCTAGGAACAGGGATCATCTGCTGAAGAAATCCACAGGCAACAAGTAGAGCCAGCGAAGAGACTGTGTAGGTTGCAACAAGCAAAGCCATAGGGATGGAGCCACCCAATCTCTCAAGAGCTCACAACTTATCACATTGTACCTTGGATGCTGCATGTGGAGCTACAGAACTTAATGCTTCCTCTGCTGGCTTTTGGTCTTACTTTTTCCACTTTTTTTCTATCCCTCATTCCTTCTTTTAGGATGGGTATGTTTACTGAGAATCATTGTGTCAGAGGGAAAAGTAATTTGGTTATTAAATTTTGCAGTGATTTATAGCTAAGAGTTTGCCTTCAGTGTTAAAAGACTTTGACTTAGACTTTTGAGCAATGCTAGAACTGCTGAAACTTTGGGACAGGATTAGCATGCTTTTGGTTGTATGCAGGATAGTTATATAATGTTAGGTGGAATTATGAACTTATTATTGTTTTTATTTGGAGATTAAGTGTAGTTTAAGAAGATGTGTTTGGGTGTCAAGTTTACAAGGGCTTAAATGTG